CGAAAAAACTTATAGAGCAGGAATTATGAATTTAAGGGCAGGAATAAGCAGGAATTGAGCACTAATTATTGGTGGAAAAACAATTGCAAAATTAAAAATGAAGATCTTTATTATTTAAGTTTCAAACCAATAAAATCCACATTGATGATTATTATTTTTCCGAAATCTATCGCTAAAGTGCGATAGATAGAAGCATTGGCGTAACTAGAAAAAACCTAGGGACGGCAATATAATATATTTATTATTACCAAAACCCTGACCTCCCTCCCCCTCGCTAGTTAAAACATATTTTTATTGTATGTATTTTATACACTATATCTAATTGTTTGATTTTACATAAGTCTTTTAACTCATTTTATGGTTTAGATAAATATAAATTGTAAGTAGCATGTACTAGGTACCAATATTGTTAAATAATTTCCATAAAAGTTCATTAATAAAAGGTGCTATTTGTACTGTTGGATTATCTGGGGGGGGGGGCAAAATTATACCTTTATCTCTCAAAAGATTGTCAGAGGGGGCACTTGCCCACCCCCTTTCCCCTACAATTACGCCACTGGATAAAAGTATGGATTGTGTTATATAACATTACAGTACCTAGTGTCTCTATATTTTTAATTACGTATACGTAATAGTATACTATCGTGTTTCGACGGTAAACTATTACTATTTTTTAAAATTTTTTTGCTTATTAAAAATAACCACATTACTATGTTTAAGGTCAAAACAATGCTCAGTGGTGAACCATGCATTTTCAGGTTGCTTAACTTAATCTACCTGGTCCGACTTTAAACAATAGTCCATAACCTCTATTGTCCGAGAACGGTGAATCACCGTTAAAAAGGCTTTCGTGCAATAGTGCATCGTTTCCGTGCTGTTCCGGTGGTTTAACCATTAAATACTAACACCAATAAAGCGTTCCAGTACACTGGTCAATAGTCTTGTCTTCTGTGAGTTTACCTACTAAGGAGAGGAGGAAATAACTATTGACATCATAAATTCATAATTCGACGAAAAATTCCAATTTTAAAAATAATTTTTTACAAGTTTATTGCACAATACATCACATTTAGCCAATGGAATGTATCTTATACCGGTGTAACACGATTGCACACTTTCTACCTTTTTACCTAAAAAAAAACACAACACCATTGCGCACTTTTTACCTTTTTATATATATAATAATTTTTATGTATTATATAGCAAAAAACAACACAATTGCACAAAAAATGATATGTGTATATATAGCTATGTATATTGTATAATAATTTATGTACAACCTAAAATAATGTATTATTTTATATGTATTATATAATAATTATTAATTATTACATATTAATTCACAATTTTTCTTCCCAATCATTACAGGCTTAAAGACTGTCAACAATTGTTTTTTTTTCTAAATTACAAGTAAGCTAAATGCCTAAAATTATTTTATTTTGAGCTTTAAGAAACCCACCTATAATGGATACTATAGGGGCGACTGGTCAGTAAATAATATTTTATCACCAATAACTGATAGGCTAGTGTTCATATCCGATAATAAAGTTAGATAATATTTATTTCATCAGTCACCAGTCACACACGGGCGCCCTTATGGCGCAATGTGTATATTTCCGTATTTTTTTTGTGAAATTTTGTTTTTGGAAAATGGATATAAAAATACAAAAAAAATTTAAAATCGAAAAAGGTAAGCCATGTCTTTTAGTTGATGGATATAAATTTAGTGAATCTAAAGTTCTGAAAAAATATGGAAATATTCGGTATCGCTGTACAAATAAAAATTGTACAGTCAGCTTACTAGTTGACAAGAATGTGACTAAAGTGTTGAGTATGTTAAAAAAGCATATACATGACGAGATTCTAGAGAATATTATTAGCAGGCGAGTTGTGAGTTCTCGTTTAAAAAGAAAATGCGAAAATGATTTGCTCATTAGACCCAATAAAATAATTAGACAAAAACTTAGAAATACGGAAAAATATATCCAGCCGGTTTATTCTTATGTTAAGTTATGGAGAAAATGTATGTATGATAAACGTAAAAAAATATGTAATAATTGGGAAGGAAAATTGTGAATTAACGTGTAATAATTAATAATTATACATGCATACATTATTTTATGTTGTACGTAAATTATTATACAATATATATAGATATATATATATACTCATATCATTTTACGTACATATAATATCGTGTTACGCCCATCTTATACATATACTTAATTTATTGAATATGTGTAATCAATATTTTTAGTAAAATATTATTTGTTTTCGAAATAACTCGCCTTGTTTGGTAATTTTAATTCGTGGTTTGGTATTTCAACTTCAACCATATTGTCATAGAATTAATAATTAAAATACATTTAAAAAAAATTAAAAGTACCGTTGTATATTTTAAATATCTATTGATGGATTCATTTTAATTTAGCTGATCGTCCTTGGGAGAATTCCGACAAATTAATAAATTATGTACGTGAAGTGGTTTTCAAGGTAAAACATTAAAATTCAATGGGCCTGATACGATTTTTAAACAAGTTTGAGTGTAAAAGTTGTCAATTGATTTATTAATCATGCTAATAATGATTATTAATATTTATTTTATAAACAAACTAAATATCTCAAACTCGTTTTAATAGATCGTCAATTTTAAGCTGCAGTATCTAATTTTATTTTAATCGTAACAGTTATAACTGTTCGTTTATACCAAATATTCGAACATTTTATTCAAATAATGTAACTACGTGTTTGTAAATTATCCAACCTAACTTGATTTTATTAAAAATCAGGTCTGTGAAATATTTTAACTGATACATTTTCACACAGATATTATCTGTCGTCCTATAATTTTTAAATATCGTCTTGATAAATTATAACAGTTAGATATTTTTTAATCGATTTTCCTTGACTTGGTATGACCATTAACCCTGTATAACTAAATAAAAATTTTCTTAGACGTCATATTAATATGTAGTTTTTTAAAGGTGTCACTAATTATAAAAATAATCATAAAACAAGTTATAAAATATACCTATAAATCATCGTGTCTCTCATTTTGTCAAAGCTACGGATTACCTTCATAATACATCAGCAAATTTTTTTAAACTATTCAAATACGTTATCAAATTATAGTTAAAAAATCATTATGTACAATTACTTGTTTAATATTAGATTTTTTAGTGTCTTAAGACAGTTTCATCGATAGTAAAACGGCGTTACATAACACTGTTACCTGATATGAACTTAAACAGTACTCAGTTGTCATATATTATTATTCTGTGTACTATGCACTTTTTTATGTTGCATCCATTCATACAAACATTATGAATATTATGAATAATTATAACAAAATATACATAGTATTTTGTAACATGATATCCCATAATTAGGGCCCGGATTTTAATGCAAAGTGCATATTTTTTTGGTTAATCATACACAATGCTCTCTAAGAACATAATTCGTTTCATGTAACGAGGGCTTCAAAACTACAAATTTTATTTTGCATTTTTTTTCATATTTCGAAATTTTTTCGTTTAAAGAGCATTTTTAGTATTATTGGGTCATTTTGTTGGTTTTTAATGCATATTTGTTCGATTTACTAAATAAATTTAGCCTATTCAAAATAAAATCAAAAGAAAAATTATTTTCTTGATATTTAAGTAGGTTTATCAGGTTTTTCCATACACATTGTCAATCTTTATTTTTCTATTCAGTTTTTATCTTATCTTAATTTATTATTGACTATGGAACGTCACTAGTATTAGGTCAAATAACAAATCAACTTTAGTTCGTATTACCTCGCAGACATTGCTCGTATTACGTATGAATGTGATTTTAATGTTTTAAATAGTGTGTTAAATAATGTCCAAAACAAAAAAAAATATTTCATTTTTAAGGTCATTTTTTCATTTTTAAGTTAATTTTTGTGGTAAAATGCATTTTTTAAGGACATTTTCGGTTTTTTTTTTAGAGCATTTTTGTATGGTTTTAAGTGCATTTAAATCCGAGCCCTACCCATAATAAACTATATAAACCATAGATTCTTAACCTTTTATTGGCCATAGACCTTTTTAAAGCATAAAATATAATCACAGACCCCTCTTCAAAAAAAAATTAATATATACATAAATAAATTTGTCTTTCAAGTGGCTTTCAAGTCTTTCAACAATTATTATTACCTATTTTAAAAAAGCTATCGAAACAAATTTATTTTTGAATTTTTTAAAAGAACTCACAGCCACCCCATAGACGCCCGAAGGACCATCTAGGGATCCCCAAGGGGTCCATGGACCTCCGATTAAGAATCTATGATCTAAACAATGGTCAAATTACTTATTTAATTAATCTATACTCGTTGATTCTTTTCAAACGTACATTATAGGGGTACATTATACACAAAAATACTATCATTATGTCATTATGTATAAGTATACGTAGTATAACAAATGAGGGTATGCCCCAAAAGAAATCAAATTTTGTTCCCTCAATTTTCGATAACATCGAACTCAATGTAACTAACATTTTGAACTCAATGACCTGAAATAATATTTTTAAGGATCATATAAAAAGGAGAGGAATGACCGCCGAATTCTGGTATAAAACGTGTGGTCCGTGTAGATATATAAGCCTAATGATCATACGAAAAAATTGGACGAGCTAAAATACGTATTATATTATACGAATTACACAACGGTGGTTTTACTATATTAAAAATATAAAATATATTGTTTATAAAATTAATAACGATGTGTTAGCATAGGATATAATTTATTTTACGATGAATCCGAATAAGTAATTTCATAGTTACATAAAAAACTGAAAAATCTTACTTCAAATTAAATAATTATGCAGAAGACAAATAATTGTAGAATTATACGTTTTATAGAAATTGATAATATTAAATTAAATTTTATAAACTCCACACATAAAAAAAAAAAATCAAAGTTATAAAAATACATTATTAATATTTATATTAAAATAATTTAACTATTGTATTATAATAAATTGTTTAAAATCTATTTTATTTCGTATTGCAAATTTTGGATTGATGGTTTAATTATGATTACATTGGCGAGACAGGTCGTTTTTTGATCCATGATTTGATTTGAGGTACTTCCAATACGGTTTTTTTGAGTCCTTGTAAATTTGGACGACCTTCCAACATATCAACTTTAAGCATCACATTAAAGATGTCGGATAAAGCCACAAACAGTATATCAGCCCAAGACAGCTGAAATTAAAATATTACCAGGGTTTTAAATCATATGAAAATAATATATTAATTTATATGAATAATACTAATTATACCAATTTATTTCGACAAAATTAAAGTATGACAAATATTTGGCTACATATTCATGTATGCGTTCGAGTATACTGCAATAGATATAACTAGTTCTACTGTACAAATTATATTGTTAAAAAATTATTTAAAATTATTTTATTGAAATTAGAGATAAGTAAATAATGTTTCTATTTGAAAATTCAGAAACATATAATGTTAAAATTACTGTAGGTGGAAACAATTTTAGACGTTACCTTTCCATTTACGAAGTATCCTTTGTTTTCAGCAACAGTGCTTTCAAATTTATTCAAATAAAGTGGAAGAGTTTCATTTATCAAAGGACCGTACTTCGCAGCTTTAGATTCTTCGTTTGAATCAAAGGCATATGCCACAATAGCTATAAACATTAGTAATATTATAATTTACAGTACAATTCCAATGATATATTTTCGTATTGCTATTAAACAAAAATAACTAATGTTTATTATTGTATTTACCTAGTCGTAAATCATTAAAGTTATCAACAGCGATGTCGATCAATAACGATTCCCATTCATCAGCACCGGCTAAACCAGCTTTTTTGGCCAAATAACGACTGATGGCCATGGATTGATTCAATTTTTTACCGTCGATTTCCAACACCGGAACTTTGCGAAATGGCATGGCTAACATTAATACAAACAATGTACAAATATGTGTAGGCAGATGTATTTGGACAACTCAGTCCACCTCATCTCACATGGATAACACAAATCAATACGGAACATTTAAGTCTCACTATAATATTACGCTTTAAAAATATTGTACAATATTTGTATTTTTTTTTTTTATATGTATATACTATAGGAATAATTAAAATTAAATAGAAGATTAAATACTACGTATATGATTAAAAAATGTAGGATTTAAAAATATTATATTTTAAGTAGGACAAAAAACAAATAATCGTGTCAGGATTTTTAAACGTTACATAATGTAATTTTTATACATTTATACTAAATACTTTTTTAGGCAAGTTAAGTAAGACAGGATTTGAGAGTACAATCTTCAACCCCTTCCCCCACTACCAAGTTTATAAATATATATCTTGTAATAAAAATAATTTTATTAATGACCCCTAATTATACATATATTTTCTGTAGTGATTATAATTTACCATACATTTTATAGTCAGACTCTGATGGACTAATATTATTTTATATTTCTAGTACTACTTGGATCCTGTGTACCCGCCAAGTCATTTGTCATTTGCATTATTAAATTTTTCCAACATAACTCCGTTCTCAACTCAACTTAGTCTACCCTCGAGTTAATATTTTTAACCTTCCCAACATTATTTTTGAAAGAAGTCTTAACCATCTCGTGCCTTATGATTCTTTCCATCCAACCTTAGACATTTTACTTCATACTATTCCTACTCTCCTTTTTACTAATATCTCCCATACATTTTTTGACTTTCATAGTATAGGCTAATCCAAAATATTATTTTTCCTTAATTTTTTCGAGTATGAAAGAAACTGAAATACTGAAGTTCATTATTTTTACTCCATTTAAGTTTCCTCCTTGGTACACAAAGGAATTTAAAACTTCGGTGTTTACTAAAAACAATCACATGTTGTTTTCTAGGAATCACACAATTAGCAAGATTTATCTTTCTCTCAGTAACGTGCTCGGTTTAAATATTTGTTTAAAAAATGCCACAAGGATTACCTTCTTCGTACTAAACCTCTAATTTATAGCAACTCTTTTAATTTTTAGAAGTTTGTACTTAAGTGCCGTTCTAGCTCAGGGTTACCAAATATTATACACCAAGATGATCAACATTGCTCAAGAAGGGAGCAAATAACTAACATGTTCTCCACTTACTTTTCTTCCGTTTACAGATGACCTTGTAGTTCTACTTTACCCAATAATCCGTTTCTTTATCACACATTGCCCAACAACTCTTATTTCTTTATTTTAAATATAATATTTATGTTATAATTATTAAATGTTAACATTATTCGTTAATGAATAGTCAGACCCGGATACAAGGGGGTTTATGGGGGCTGAAGCCCTCTACTCTTAGACATTAGATAGAACCATATCGGACATAGGTACTTAAAATATTTAAAAAATTAGACGTAATAAGGACTTAAATTAAACTTCAAATAAATTGTCTCTTGGTAAAAACGAATGTCCACAATTATCGCTTAATAATGTACTGATTCATATTAAAAATGTAACTAAATACCTAGAAGTTGGTCTGGACAAAATATTCATTTGGGCTCAACACTGTAAACATATTCTAACAATATTCTGTACGCAATTTGTATGAATTTATACGACAGTTTTCAGAATTTGTATGACGTTATTATTTGACTTATATCAAAAATACTAAAGAGGGGCTGGAAACATGTCTCCGGCCCTTCTAACATAAATAAATTAGTATTCTTTTTTTGAATTTAGTAAAATTCAAGAACCCAATTTGTATGCATTTGTACGACCGTTTCCGGAATTTTTACGTCATCCCCTCTCCTGTAATATGCGAAAAACCCATTTTCCCGTGTCCCCCGCTCCCCCAAATTTGAAATCTTAACTTTTTCTTCCACAAACATTTTACACATAATTTGTACGAATTTGTACGACCATTTCCGGAATTTATACGGCATCTATTTACCCGGAAAACTAAATTTTTTATGTGCGGTGCGGGGAAAACGTTTCTCCAGCCTCGCCCACGCGGGAAAAATAATTTTTTCCAAAAATGTCCTACGTCAATATTTAATATGTGATGTACATGCTTTTTTACGACCGTTTCTAGAATTTGTACGCCACCTCCTTTCCTGTAATGTACGAAAAACCCTTTTTCCCGTGTCCCCCGCCCACCAACTTTGAAATCTAAACTTTTTCTTCCACAAACCTTTTATACATAATTTGTATGAATTTCATAATAGAGGGAACTTAAATAAAATTAATTTCAAATATTTTTTCGCTATCGGTTTCATTACTGTTGTTAATATTAATTTAAAAGAATTTTACTTAATATTTATGGAAAAAAAAAATTATCCTTGGTACATGCAATATATAGCTTTAATATTATTACAATTAAATGTTCTAATAATGTACCTTAACATTTTCTGTTTTTATACTAAGATTAAATAAGCCAATGTTTAATAATAAAATTTAATTGGAAAATATACACAATTATATCACAGAATATTGTGGGTTTTTATTCTATTTTTGGCGCATTATTTAGACTAATAATTGAATTTCTTGTTTCCTGCGCCAAAAATAAAATCAATGCTATTGACAATATTAACCATAAACGAAGGTTAGTTGTTAATTATTTATTTGGATTATATATTATTGCTTTATTTAAAACATACATTTAAAATGTCTGTGCCTAAGTCTTTATTATAACAGATTGTTAAAAAAATATTTATATATTTTATCTGACTATAGTGTCAAACAATAAACAAAATCGGAAACGTCGTGAACCAACCAAACTTCAAAATTATGACCTGAGTCATCGAACAAGAGCATTGTATGAAAATAATACTTCCAACACTATTGAATATTGGTGTACAACAGTTTATTTAAGGATAATTGATGGAATAATTGTGAATTTAGAAAAACATTTTTCTGAAGAAAGCATAGAGCTGGCCAAATCTGTAGACAACTTTTTTAACTTGGATGAATATAATAGTCCATGTTTTATAAATACTTATAAGATATACATTTAATGAAAAATATCTATTTAAAATATTTATTACACGGTCATATGTTTTGAAATATTATTATGTTAATTAATCTGTTTATTGTTTGATATATCAGGATACTTTGAAAATATCGACAGCTAGTTTATCAGTAGAAATTCTGGCCTTAGAAGAATAGTCTACTAGCCAACTTTGAATTTAAAGACTTGAAAAATCAATGTAATAAAAGTTCGTTTCCAAATGTTTATAAACTAGTTCAAGTGGGAATGACAATTCCAATTTCTTCTTCAACGTGTGAACGCTCTTTTTCAGCTATGCGTAGGTAGATTGAAAAATTGGTCACGCACTTGTATGGGCCTAAGCTATCTACGCTTAGCATTGAGAGAGATCTTACCAATAAAATAAATGGGAGAATTATATTGGAAAAATCTGCATCAAACAGGAAATTAAATCTTGTTTAATATATGATTAATATATGTTTAATATATGATTGGGGGGAGGGGCAAATCCTCCCATGGACCTGTATACTATAAATTATTCCAGCACCCCCTGAATTCACACAATTCATGTGCGCCTATGGAACTGTGTTATACCCGTCACCGATATCGATATTTATTTATTGTATTGTAAATCGGCCAGTTACACACGGTGTATCAAAAGTTTTTTTAATATTAAATAAATTTTAAAAATTTATATTTATATTAAAAATGAAGATATAAGGGTGAAATAAAGTAAAATATATTCTTAAAATAGTCAAGTTTTATTTACTTTGGTTACAAATGTTTAATATGACCCCCACTGGCCGCCCGACACACATCTATACGGTAATCAAATTCTTCCCAAACGTTGCTGATCATATCTGGTGTCGCGGCATTATAGCATTTTTGATTCTGATTTTAAGCTCTTCCAAGTTCGTAGGTAATGGTGCTATATACACTTCATCTTTTATGTAGCCTCAAAATAAAAAATCACATACTGTGAAGTAAGGGGAACGTGGTGGCCAGGAATAAATTTCGAACGAAACTTTGTCGAATATGCTCGATGTTTTCGTCAGAGGTACGAGGTCGACCTGAGCGTTTCTGTGCACAAAGACAACCACTTTATTGGAACGTTTGATACCAACGTCGAATGCTTTGAGCAGTAGGAGCTTTAGTTCCCTATGTTCTTCGAAAATCACGTTGAACGGTTAATGCCGCTCGCACTTATTGAAACGTAAGACGCAAAACGCTTTCTGTTGCGGAGTCGTCATAACGAAACAAACTAACGGTTTCTAGTTCACTAACCATTACGGTGCCAAATTTATCAACTAGATAACTTAAAATAAACTTAGTTATCTAATCTTTACATTAATACACCGGTTATTAACCTGCGATTAACCGTTTCCGAACTATATCAGTTCGTAATCGGATGAAGACTTTTGAAACATCGTATATAATGAAATTCTTGATTCCCCGCATTGAGAAAAAAGGTCTCTCTAGTTGCCAGATCGTCGTCGTGAGCACATCACCACAAGTTTTCTTATTATTATGATTAGGATGACGCCCCAAGATATGGAATAAGTACAAATAGGCTTTCCCGCGGTGAGATGTCTGTCTGTCGGGCGAAGTGTAGATGTACAAACATAAATAGTAATTCTCATATAACGGTAGACTGGTCAGTACGTTTGATTAAATAAAATTATTATTATTATTATTATTATGATTATTATTGAAAACTACGTAATGTCCAACGTTTATTTATCTATACTTATAAATACATTATGTTTTTTTATTTAAATCTTTAATCACAGTTTTACGCGACACCGAGCTTTCTCTGCATCGAAATTAAAAAAATGCTTAAAATACATTTTTTTTCTCATAATCGGTATTTTATTTTTTTTAGTT